CTGTTTCAACATCTCTGGGGAAAAGGATTCCAGAGAACACACTTCAGGGAAATGCGCAATTTTACATGACCAGCTAGCAGTCCTTTACCCGTTAGTGAGAAAGGGTTGAGCTGTCCCTTTTCCTTCCTTTTAAAAAGCATTTGGGCTGGATGCAGTGCCTCATGCCTGTAGTCCCAGCATTTTGGGAGGCCGAAGCAGGGGGTATCACTTCAAGTAAGGAGTTTGAGGCCAGCCTGGCCAATATGGTGAAACTCTATCTCTACCAAAAAATACAAAAATTAGCCGGGCGCAGTGGTGCACAACTGTAATCCCATCTACTCTGGAGGCTGATGGGAGAAGTGCTTGAACCTGAGAGGTGGAGGTTGTAGTAAACCGAGATTATGCCACTGCACTCCAGCCTGGGCAACAGAACGATATTCCGTCTCATGACACCTGCTGAGCATGGTGGCAGGTGCCTGTAATCCCAGCTACTTGGGAGGGTGAGGCAGGAGGATCACTTGAACCCAGAAGGCAGAGAATGCAGTGAGCTGAGATCGTACCACTGCACTCCAGCCTGGGCGATAATGAAAGACTCCATCTTAAAACAACAACAACAACAACAAAACAACAACTAAATAAATAAAAATAAAAGGTTTGGTTAGGTTTTTGAGGTGTAATGTATTTACAGTTAAATTTTACTGTGTGTGCAGCTCTGAGTTGACAGATGGTTGTAAATAATCACTATCAGGACACAGAGTGCTCCAGCATCCGTCAAAATCCCTTTGTGCTGACCCTGCACAGTCCCTGCTTCCCTAGATCTCCAGCCCCTGGCACCCCTGATCTACTCTCCACCCTACTTCCACTTTTCCCAGAACACCTGGGGAGTAGGCTCTCCCAGCAGGGGTCTGTCTGTCTTTCTCCTTCAGCAGGGTGCAGCTCAGCTTTTGTGCATTATTACTCCTCCAAGGAGCCTCATCAGATACTTTTCCAATACCCTCATGAACTTTTACCACCACAGACATACTGTTTGTGTACTGTGTATATGCCTGTGCTTTGTACTTCAAGAGAGAAAGACAGTTCCAGTGACTCAGGAGAAGGCAGGAGGACTGAACCCGGGAGGAAGAGGCTCCAGTGAGCCACTATCACACCACTGCACTCCAGCCTGGGTGACAGTGAGAGACACTGTCTTTTTTTTTTTTTTCTTCTTAGAGCCAATTCTGTAAAAGGGACACCCTGTCTCTAAAAAAAAAAAAGCAAGATGTATTTTCCTCTACCCCACAAAGACCAGTGTGTGCCAGTTTGTGGGTAATAGCACCATGTTGAGGATGCAGGACTTCGGCATGATGCCCTGAGATCCATCCACGATGATGCCTCAATCAACCACTCATCCCTCTGACTGCTGAGCAGGACTCATGGGGTGGAGGTGCCACAATGTATCTGTCTCCCCAGAAAGGATATTTGCACTTTCCAGTGGGACACTTTATGAATAAAATCACTATAAACATCTGTGTGATTTTTTTATGAGGACCTAGGTGTTTATTCCTTTAAATATCTAAAAGTGGGATTGCTGTGTCACATGGTAAGCACATGTTCAATCAGAGGAGAAGCTGCCACACATTCCAGAGTGTAGAGAGGAGTCCCCTTGTGCCACATCCTCGCTATCCCTTCTGATCTACTCAGTGTTCTTTATTTCGGCCATTCTGACAGGTGTGTGTGGTGAAAACTCATCATGGGTTTAGTTTGCACTTCCCTAGGCACTGAAAATGCTCAGCCTCTCTCTATGTGCTCAGCTGCCATTCATGTTTGGAAGCATGTCTGTTCAAAATTTTTTTTTGTGTGTGAATACTTCTGATTACTATATGTTCAAAACTATTGCAGTGTGCTTGCAGTCCCTGCTACTAGGGAGGCCGAGGTGGGAGGATCTCTTGAACCTAGGAGTTCCAGGCTGCAGTGAGCCATGACTGCACCACTGTGCTCCCGCCTGGGTGACACAGCAGACACTGTCGCAAAAAACAAACCAAACCAAACAAAACCAAAAACCAAGACTTTAGCACATTCCTTGATAGAAAATATGAATTAGGGGAGGAAAAGGGAGACAGAATAGAAAGACACAAAGAGTTGGAGGGTGAAAGAGAAAACTGAGGGATAGGGTGGGAATCTTGGGAGACTGAGGATAAGCACCTGTACTCATGAGCTGGTTGGGGGAACTGGAAACTGACGGGCAATTCTGCAGAGAGAATAGGAGCTTTTCCCAAAATTCAAAACAGCCCAATAAATACTTCTTGCCTCTCAAGTGTCCTTAGGAGCACAGTCTGGGTACTAAGAAAAAAGCCCATTAGTGAGTTTCACTTGCCCAAGACAAGGAAGTCTTATTAGTCTCCTCATCTGTAAGATGGTGACAGTAACCTGCCTCGTAGGTTACTGTGAGGAGTAAATGAGTTAAATACAGAAAGTATGCAGACTAGTACCTGATACATAAAAAACTTTTGCAATATTAACTACCATCACCATCACAATCATAATCACTACCACCACCATCACCACCACCCCAATCGCACCACTATCATCACCACCATTACCATCATCATTACCACCGCCACCACCCCCACCACCATCACCATCATCACCATTACCCTCATATCACCACCACCATCACCACTACTTGAAAACTCTAAATCTGCTTTGCCCAAAGTCTACTCTTGGCGACACACTATTGTGTGGACCTTAAATAGGGAACTCAGTCAAGGCTTCCTTGAGAAGATGGCACTGAGACCTAGATGTAGTGAGGCAGCCCTGAGCCACCTGGGGAACAGCAATTCAGGTACAGGGAGCAGAGGCAGGTGCAAGGCCATGGTGGTATAAGAAAGCAGCACTGGGCACTGCGGCTGGAACGAGGAATGCAGTAGGAAATGAAGGCAGGGCAGGAACCGGGGCAAAGGTGCATCAGTGTGTGGGTGTGTGAATGTGAGAGCATACATGCATGTGTGCACATATGTGTGAGTGCATGTGTGTGCTTTTATTAGGCACAGATCTCATAGTGCCTTGTGGGTCACAGCAAGGACTGTGGCTCTGTAGGCCGCACAGGAGCCCCTGGAGGCTCTGTGTTGAGAATGGCCTGGGGGTGAAGAAGGTGAAGGTGGGAGGCACCCACTGAGGAAGCTGCTTTGTGCATTCTGGTCTGAACCCAAGTGGAGTCATGGGAGTCCTGGGAAGTGACGAACTCTGGGTGGAGTTGGGGACTCTGGTGATTTCAGACACAGTGGTAGGAAGCGAGTCTTCAGTGTCCTGTGGTGGGGGTCGGGGGATGAGATGGTAACAGAGATATCTGGAAATTAGCCAACTCAGAGTGTGGCTGTTCTGCGTAGCTGTGCCCTTTTTTGTGCTGCTCTGGTAACAGCAAGGAGGGTGATGATAATGTTGTGTCTGCCTCAGCAGACGGCACAAAGATGAAGTAAAGGAAGACCCAGATGGCCCTTGGAAGAGAGATGTGTAAACTATCAGGATTGGAGAGACTAGGAGAATAAGGAGAGATGATAAAGGCAGCAACCCCTAGAGGAACAGGTAAGGGTTTACACCAGCAGAGGCGCCCAGAACAACGTCTGCAGTGGGCATCAGTCACATGACACAGGGCATTAAGGGGCAGTGAACACAAAATGCAAACAGACACAAGTCAGAGGCACCTGGGTGACCCTGACCTCATCATTCTGGGATCCAGCCTGGGAAGGGACTGCTCAACTTCAGAGAGATCCCCAGATTGTCCCCAGTGAAAGGCCTGAGATTTTTATTATTTTCATATTTTTTGAGATGGAATCTCGCTCTGTTGCCAGGCTGGAGTGCAGTGGTGCGATCTTGGCTCACTGCAACTTCCACTTCCCAGGTTCAAGTGATTCTCCTGCCTCAGCCTCCCAAGTAGCTGGGATGACAGGCGTACACCGCCATGCCCGGCTAATTTTTTGTATTTTAGTAGAGACCAGGTTTCACCATGTTGGCCAGGACTTTTTTTTTTTTTTTTTTGAGGCTGACAATAACTGGTTTGTTGAGGATCCAGGCAGCTGGATCCCCTCATACATTGTTCATGAAACTGATACAACCACATTGGCAAACTGGCAGTATTTACAAAATCTAAACATACAAATACCCGATGACCAACTAATTCCTTGCCTCACCCAAGAGAAATGAGAGCTTATGTATACCGGAAGACATGAACAAAACTATCCACAGCAGCTTTCTTCCTGATGGCCCCAAACTGGAAATGACCCAGATGCCCATTCATAGGAGAAAAGATTTTTGCTTTTTTTAAAAAAATTTTTTTAACAAAGTTTTATTACCAGAAGATTTAGAATTGAAGGAGAAAAGATTTTTAAAACATTAGCTGAAATGTGGATTTAAAAATATGGATTAAAAAACAAACAAAAAAAAACACAGTGTGGCATGTTCACAGAGAGGAATTCTGTAGAACAATGGAGTTTCCTTCACATCCCCAGCCTGTGTCATGATGGATATACTTTCCTGGTTTTGAATGTCACACATGTGGAATTGTCTGTACATTTTGGGGTCTGACTTCATTGTACACATCATCCTCACTTCTGTGGTTGTGGCTGTGTGTTCTTTTTCATTGTGGTACACAGTAGGTATTGTCAGTCCTTTTGATTTTGTCAGTTTTTAAAATTTTAGCCATTCTTGGGTGGGTGAAGAGCTATTCTTGACATGGAATGACAAGACTTGGTGTGCCAGAGGTTAAGGCCTGAGCATCTAGGGGAGCACAAGCCTGTCTTCTATGCCCTGGTGTGGTATAACAATGTTTCAGTGTGCTCAGGAGGGAAACAGAGACAGCAGAGAAGCTGAGTGCTTCAAACTGGGCAGAAATGAGACAGGGGTAGGCTAATGGTGAGACTTGGATAATTTTGTCATTGGCTACAAAGGGCAGTGACAACATGATTTACACACGCACACACGGTGGGATATCTGAAATATTAAGCAGATACCCCACCTTAGTATAGCAGGGGCGCTGCCTAATCAGCATGGATGCTGGTCAGGAGAGCATGCGTGTATGTGCTGGCTGGAAACTCGGTCCCGTTCACAGGTCATGATCTTAACCATCAAATAACAAAGCCAAGAAATCCGACAGGGCAGTGCCCGGGAGCACCGCGTTTGCTCTGTGGCTAGAACGCAGCACACTCAAGTGTCGCCCATCGGGGCTAGTGGTACTCGTGGTGGTTTGGGCAAATACAAGTAGTAATCCAGAGTATTCGAGTCAGCATGAAAATACTGAAACGTGGGAGAAGACCCAACCGTTTCCAAGAAACACAAATGGGAGCTGGCGACAACTGAAAGAACATAATTAGAGAGGGAGAAAGCACTGCGTTTCACTGAAATATGAAGACACACGTCCTGTCTTCACGTCAGCAACTGCCCCGAAGTACACGCGTTCGAGAGAAAAGAGCGGGGAGGGTGGGGAGGCGAACGGCCCCTCAGAACCCGCGATCGCACGCCCGGGCCTCCGGGTGACAGCTACTTCCAACTTCGCGATCTTTAAACCCCAGGCTGTTCAGAGAAAAAAAAAAAAAACCTACTTCTCTACAAGTCACGATTCGAGCCGCACCTGAGGACGCTTCGGGTAAAATCACTCCTTTACCTCAGATACCGGAGCTGGCGATCCCGCGCGGGCTTCATCTGAGGTAAAGGAGCGATTGAACCGGAAGTGCCCGTGCAACACGCAGGACCGCGAGCGGGCTGCTCTCACCTTTTTTTCTCCTTGCAGGGTATCGAGACCCTGGCTAGGGCAGCAGGCGGCCCCGACCCATCTGTCGGAAATGATGAGTGGCTCCCTTCGCCGAAGGCTGCAGGACCAACACCAGCGGGAATGGCAGGTGTCCCGCAGCCCCACACAGCCGCGCTTTAACCCGCTAACCCCGCGTCCCTGCGCGAGGGACCAATGAGCCGCCAGCTAAGTTCACATACCTAGAAAGCCGCTTTTGATTGGCTGAGCGCGGGCCAGTCAGTGGGACGGGCGGCGCGCGCGCGCAAGTTGTCGGGCTGTTCCAATGGGTTAAGGTTGGGGTGGCGGTTGGGCTCGGACCGGGGCTGAAGGGAGAGGCAGGAGCCCGGGCGGCCGGGCCTGAGGAACCTGTGTGTGAAAGGGCGCGTCAGCCATAAGAAGCCATACGTGTGCGAGCCGGTCCCCACTGCCCCCGCGGCGCTGTCACCATCATCCTAAGGCCACTGGAGCAGCCTCGGGCGCTGCTGCCTGGGATCCGAGCCCGGGGTGCGTCGGGCTCGGCAGGCTGGCACTCAGACCCAGCGCGCAGGATGGCAGGCAAGTACGTCCTCAGTCCTACCCCCGCGTACCCAACACCGCGCCTCTGAGTGCCAGGACCGGCATTGCTCCATGACCTCAGCCTAGGCGGAGCTCTTGACCGGGACCCACAGAAGCCTCACTTACATTGGCACAAGGACAAACACGCAACTGCTGGTTTCACGTAACTGAAAAGGCCAGGAGTAGGCCTTCGGGCATGGCTGTATCCAGGTGCACACTGACCATGGTCCTGGAAAGTTTCCCTCCATCTCTCAGCTTCTTTCCTTCTTACTGGCTTCCCTTGTGAAGGCAAGTTGATCGCCAGGACCTCCTGAGGTTTACATGTTATCAGATTATCATCCTCAACAAAAAGGACACTCTTTTTCCCCAGGGTAGTGGTGAGTTGGGCCCACCTGAACTACAAGGACTCAGATGGGTGTGGGTCCTCCCAGGAATATTGCAGTGCTGTAATGACCAGCAGGGGCCTCGGGTGCTGAGCAAGGCAATGCCCCCATCCTCTGTGTTTTCAGGCATCAGCTGGGAGAGTTGATGCTGGAATCTATTACTCTAACAAAATATAACAATAATTGTTATTATGACAGTGAAACACAAAAACATTTGTATGGCTCTTGCAGTTTCCACACTACAAAGCGCTTTGACCTATCACTGCCAGGGAAACAGGGCTTTGCACTCACTGGAGATGCTCTATAGCCCAACTTTCAAGAGTAACACAGGCTGTGTAACCCCGAATGCTTTGTCATCCCAGAGACAAGGCACCTGGGTTTCTATAGTGGAAGGAGGTTATTTAATGGACAGTTTGACGATGTTTTCCTTCAGCATTTCAGTAAGTTGGGGGTGTCTGACAAACCATCATAGGTGATGCGATTGGCAGCTCCCTGTCCTGGGAAGTTCTCACCAGGTTGGAAGGCACCTGTCTTTCCTGATGCTCCAAGCACAAGTTTAGCTTGAGTCAGCTTGAAGCTGGTTGGCTTGGGAATGCAGGATTCCACCACAGCCAGCCCCCAGGAACCCCTAGACATTGACACATGAGTGAGCACACACCTGCTTCTAGTGTCAGTCTCTCACTCTTCTTGGGCTCAGAGGATGCCCCCCTGCCCCGCCACCCCTGGGCTTTATTGTTGAGAGTCAGTTCTGAGAAGGCAGGCCTGGGCCTGTGCCCTAGCATCCCTGCCTCCCAGTTTACACAAACCCTGAAACTTCTAAGCTTTCCTCTTCTTCTTTTCTAGGAATAGCACATTTCAAACCTACAAGAAAGAAGAGGGCCTCCCAGGTCATCCGGTAAGGAAAGCAAATCCTCAGCCACTTGGCCCTGACCCCCACGTGCCCCTGTGGGGTGAGGAGAGCAGAGAATGTGGGTCCAGAAGCTGCATCCCATGAGAGGATACTCCAAACACAAAAGTATGGTTGCAGGAGCCATCGCTCGGCCTCCAGAAAAGAGCCCCCTTCAACTCCCAGGCCCTCACAGCACCTTGCTGAGTTAAGGAGCCTTGGGAGAACCAGCGGGACACCTAATGTACCTGCTCTGGGCATCAGCTTTTCCATCTGCTCTTGGAGGTGATGGCAGCCCCTCTCCTTCCTGCCTAAGCATGTTACGAAGGTCCCAGGGGATGAATGTGAAAGCTCTTGTAGACCAGAGTGAGACAGATGGTGACAAAGGCAGCACTCATGTGTCCATAAGCTCTAGAGCTGGTTGTACATCTCCCTTTTCAGAGGAGGACCATGACACTTTCTCATAGTAGCATGGCAGTAAGCAGCTCAGAATCCCAGCATACCTGGTTTGCAGGCTCTGGCAGATCCTCCTCCAAATGATCTTGGAGGCCTCAGAGCAAGCCACGGTAGCCTGCCTCTTTCCAAGCTGCAGTAGGAGCTGGGGACCCTGTCCCTGGACACTGTTTTCCTGAGCATGGATCTACTGTGCCTGAGAGCCTCCTGTTGTTCCTGCAAATGCAGCATCAAGTTCACTTCAGTCTCTTCTGGATCTTACTCAAATACACTCTGGCCCCTGGGCCATTCTCCAAGATCCCATCTGCTGTGAGTGCTAGACCAGATTCGGGGGCTGCCTACCTGTACCAAGAGCAGCAGCAGCACTGCCTTACTGGGTTCCTCTGTCCCTGAGACCCCGAAAGGAGGTAGGGGACTTGAACCAGGAGGTATTCACCTAGGGTCCAGGGTGAATGTCAGGGGACCAGATACCCTTCAGAATTAGAAGTATTGTATGAAATTTTAAGATTTCAGGGAGACAGTTCGTGACTATTATTTTAGTGTCAGACGGGTAATGTGCTGACATTGTAGCAAGGTCTGAGGGAGGCACACCTTACACATGTGCATGAGTACCCAGTTATCGTGTTTGTGAACTACAAAAGGATCTGTGATTTTTGAACAGATTTTTCTAAAAACTAGACTCCTGGAGGTTTGACTGGCATGTGATAAACTGCATGTATGTAAAACGTACAGTGTGGTAAGTTTTGACATAGGTATTCCCCCCTGAACCCACCACCACCATCAAGATAATGAACATATACACAACCCTTAACCATATCCTTGGGCTCCTTTGTAACTTTACCTAACATACCATACCCTGACATCCCCCAGGCAATGACTGACCTGCTTTCTGTCACTGTAGATTAGTTTGCATTTCTGAGAATTTTATATAAATGGAGTGATAGACTATGTACTTTTTTCCTGGCTTCTTTCACTTAGCATAATTATTTTGAGATTTTTCTGTGTGATCATGGGCATCAGTAGTCAATCTTTTTAGTATTGAGTAATGCTGCATTCTGTGAATAGACCACAGTTCATTCATTCACCCAGAAGGACATTTGGGTTGTTTCTACTTATCTGTTACACACAAAGCTGCTATGAACATTTGTGTATAAGGCTTTGTATGAATATATGCCTTCATTCTTCTTGGGTAAATACCAAGGAGTGGAATTCCTGAATCATATGGTAGGTGTATGTTTAACTTAAAAAAAAAAAAAAAAAAAAAACCTGTTGACTGTTTTCCACCATTTTACATTTCTACCAGGAGTGTCTACAGTTACAGTTCCTCCACATCGTCACCAATACTTGGTTTAGTTGATCTTTTTAATTTGAGCCATCTTAATAGGTATCTATCTCATGGTAGTTTTCATTTATATACCTATGATAATTGGTGATGTCAAGGATCTCTTCATGTGCTTTTGCTGTCTGCATGTTTTACTTGATGAAGCATCTGTTTAATTGTTTTGCCCTTCTAAAAGAATTGCTTTTTAAATTACTGAGTTTAGATTGTTCTTTATATATTCTAGATACAAATTCTAGATACAAGTTCTTGATCAGAGATTCAATTTGTAAGTATGTTTCCATGTCTTTAGGTTGCCTTTTTTTTTGAGACCAGGTCTCCCTCTGTTGCCCAGACTGGAGTGTATAATCATGGCTCTCTACAAACTTGAACTCCCCAGCTCAAGCAATCCCTCTACCTCAGCCTCCCAAGTAGCTGGGACCGCAGGTATGTACCACCACAGGAGGCTAATTTTGTTTATTTTTTATGGAGATGGGGTCTCACCATGTTGCCCGGGCTAGTCTTAAACTCCTGGGCTCAAGTGATCCACCTGTGTTGGCCTCCCAATGTGCTGGGATTAAGGTGCGAGCCACGCTTGACCTGGCTTGTCTTTTTATTCTCTTATCAGTATCTTTCAGAGAGAGTTTTACCTTTTGATGAAGTTCAGTTTATTGGTTCCATATTTCCCAGATTTTACCTAGGTTTGCCCATCCCTAGCACGGCAGTGGATCACGCTTTAAGTGTTATAGCTAAGAGATCTTTGCCAAACCTGAGGTCAAAAAAGGTTTTTCCTACGTTTTATTTTGGAAGTTTTATAATTTTATGTTTTTGCCTGTGATCCATTTTGAGTTAATTTTTATATATGGTATGAGGTATGGACTGAATTTTTTTTTTTTTTTTTGAGATGGAGTCTTGCTCTTTGGCCTAGGCTGGAGTGCAGGGACATGATCTCAGCTCACTGCAACCTCCGCCTCCTAGGTTCAAGCTATTCACCTGCCTCAGCCTCCCAAGTAGCTGGGACTGCAGACACACACCACCATGCCTAGCTAATTTTTTGTGCTTTTAGTAGCGATGGGGTTTCACCATGTTGGCCAGGCTGGCTTTGAACTCCTAATCTCAGGTGATCTGCCCGCCTTGCCCTCCCAAAGTGCTGGGATTATGGGCATGAGCCACTGCGCCCAGCCTTGAATTGGATTTGTTTGCATATGAAAGTCTAATTGTTGTAAGGGCTGTATTTTCTCTGCTGACTCACCTTGATACCTTTGTCAAAGATCAGTCGTTGCTGTAGTTTAGATGTTTGTCACCTCAAGCCTCATGATAAAATTTGGTCCCCATTGTTGGAGTTGGGGATGACCAGTGTTGGAGATATTTGGGTCAAGAGGGGGAGGTCCCTCGTGACTGGATTGGTGCTGTCCTTGTGGTAGTGACTCAGTTCTCTGTCTACTAGTTCTCAAGAGAGCTGGCTGTTAAAAAAAGCTTACCGTCTCCTCCCCTCTTTCTTGCTTCTTCTCTCATATGTGATCTCAACATATATATGTGGGCTCCCCTTCACCTTCTACCATGAGAAGAAGCAGACACCCAATCTTGAACTTTCCAGCCATCAGGATCATGAGTCAAATAAACCTCTTTTCTTTTTCCTTTTTTTTTTTTTTTTTTTTTTTTTTTTTTAATCTGAGATGGAGTCTTGCTTTGTTGTCCACACTGGAGTGCAGTGGCATGATCGATCTCAGCTCACTCTGCTGCCCAGGCTGGAGTGCAGTGGCATGATTTTGGCTCACTGCAACCTCCGTCTCCTGGGTTCAAGTGATTCTTCTGCCTCAGCCTCCCAGGTAGCTGGGATTACAGGTGCTTGCAACTACGCCTAGCTGATTTTTGTATTTTTATTAGAGATGGGTTTTCACTATATTGGCCAGGCTGGTCTTGAACTCCTGACCTCAAGTGATCCTCCTGCCGCAGCCTCCCAAAGTACTGGGATTATAGGCATGAGCCACCATGCCTGGCCTTTCCCCTATGTCTAATAGCCCCTACCGCTACATACAGAGCTCGGCCATGGTATAACCTCCTCCTCATCCTGTTGCCCAAACCATGTGCCTGGTCCAACTCGCAGCTGAGAGGTGGGACCACCCTGTCTTTCTGCTGGAGAAGCTGCAAGGTCACAGTGCCAAGGGTGGGCTGTAGGGAGGGTGAGGAACTGAGGCAAGAGTGTGATTCACTGTAATTCACATACATGTGATTGCATGCACATTCTTTTTTGAAAAATGCAAATGATAGTGTACTGAACTCACAGTGCTGCACTTTCTTCACTTTACATCCTGCCTCAGAGTTTAGTCCATGTTAGTCCAGACAGCTCTGTCCCATTCTTCCCAAGGCTGCCCATACCCTGTTGTCCAGTGTCTGTCATTTATTGTCTCCTACTGAAAGGCATTCAGGCTGTCCAGTCACTCTTGACAATGGTGCAATGAATATTTCTGTGCATGGGATACCTTGCAGATGTGAAAGTATTCTCATAGGAAACATTCCTGCAAGTGGAATTGCCGCATCAAGGGCTGTCCATTTTAGAATCTGATAAAATTTGTTAAGATGCCAGCAGAGCCCTCTTCATAGCTGAGATCACCGAGGTGCAGGGATGCTAAGTGTCGTGGCCAAGGGCCCCAGCTGGAGACCACCAGGCCAGGACAGAACCAGATCTCCCAATAACAAACTGTGTGCTCTGCCAGGGTACAGGTGCAGATGGTGGGTAGGGAGGACAGGTGAGCCATGGAGATCCCCTGTCTTCCAACAGTGGGAATGTAGAGGGCAGACCACACTCCCTTATCTGGAGTGGCTGGGGTGTGCTTGTGGGCGGGAACAGCTCTCCAGGACCTTCCCTGATACTAAGGCCGATCCAGAGGGTCTTCTGGGGGATGATTCCATAGGAGATTCATTGCGGGCATGGCTCCATCCCCTTCTGAACCTTCTCTTCCCTTCCTCTCTGTTAGAGTCAAAAGATAGTTCAATTTTATATCCACCAAGATGTGCCCCTGCCCATTCCACTGCTTTGGGGGCCATCTCCCGAAGCCTAGGGACCAGGTATTGATGCCCTACTGGGTGCCCCAGGTCCTGAGGTCTTAGCAGCAGCTAAGGAGGAGGAGCACACTGCAGTGAGGACTGAAGAGTGAGGTGGGCGCTGGGTGAAAGGGAGACGAGAGGAAGATGGGGAAGAGGGGTGCTGGGCTCTGTTCCCTCAAAGGTCTCTGCTGGTGTCCAGAGAAGATCCCCTAGCAGCTGTGGCCACAGGCCTGGGAGTACACAGGGCAGGTATGGCTCAGGGAGGGCCGGCCCTGGTCTCCTGGTGGGCAATGGTAGGGCAGGGCTGCGCTGTTCTCTGCAGAGGGGTGGTTGTTCTGGCACCCACTGCTGCTGCTGCTGCTGTCTTTCCTTCTTCTCTTCCTGCCCCTCTGCACTCTCCCTGACCTCTCTCACCTCCCTGCCTCCTACTTCCCACATCTCTTTCCTTCCCTGGCCTGGCCCCTCCTCTGACTCTCTCACCTGGCACTGCCTGGATGGAGAGAGGTGGGAAGGAGTGTACCCGGGATGGACCACTACCAGATGGCCTGTCCTCTCTGCTCTTGCTGTCCGTTTCCACAGCACTGATTCTGGGCAGCAAGCTGCAGGCCTCCTCCTAGCTCCCGGGCCTCTCACTCCCCTGCTTTCCCTATGTCCTGTGTGGTAGACAGGGGCTTCCTTCCCCATGACTTCTAGTTGATGGTTTTCCATTATTGGGTGGCAGGCTGTCCCCAGAGAGAAGAGCCCACAGGCCTCATAAGGAAAAGCCCATGGCTTTATCCTGAGCTGGCCAGCGCCCCTCCTGGAGGTTCAGAGTCCTGGTCACTGGGCTCTCCACTTTGGAGGATTGCTGGGCTGACATGCTTGCTGTCATTCTTGTCTTTTAGGTGGTGAGGAGGCAGGAGAGTTTGAAAGGCATCCAAGGTGTGCGTGTGTCTCCTGTCATCCCCCTCCCCAGAAAGGTCCATGAATGTCATGGTGGGGGGTGGACCTCTCATCCCCAGACACCTGCCCACAGTGTGACAGTGACATACATGTGGCTTCCCCTCCCCTGCTCACCAGCCATCCCTGGTCACCTACTATCTTTCCCCAGTGAGCCCAGAGAAGCCTCTGCTCTACAGGCAGACCCCACGCATCTGCCAGCCTCTGCTCTCTGGATTAAACCAGCTCCCAGCCTGGTCTTAGATGAGACTTCAGGTGGTTTTGTTAAGCTCTAATCTGCCATAATTTATGATGTAGTATATGTGTGTATACATATTTATGACATAGTACATATTCCTATATATATCCTATTATATACTCATACATTCATATATTCATGGTACATCGTATATTCAAAACACAATATTTATCTATCTATTCATTACCTAGTATGCTCATATATTCATATATTTGTGACCTAGTATAGGTACATTCACATGTTCATGATCAACATAATATATACTCACATTCATGCATTCACAATACACTTTATATTCGTATGAGGGGGCTTGAAAAATTTCATGGAAAATGCATATAATATGCCAGGTGCAGTGGCTCACACCTGTAATCCCAGCACTTTGGGAGGCTGAGGAGGCTGAATTGCCTGAGCTCAGAAGTTTGAGACCAGCCTAGGCAACGTAGTGAAACCTTGTCTGTACTAAAATACAAAAAATTAGCTGGGCATGGTGTCACGTGCCTGTAGTCCCAGCTCCTTGGGAAACTGAGGCATGAGAATTGCTTGAACCCGGGAGGCAGAGGTTGCAGTGAACTGAGATCACACCATTGTACTCCAGCCTGGGCAATAGAGTGAGACTCTGTCTCCCAAAAAATAAAAATGTGTATAATAAAAAAAATGAAACAATGTATGGATTCCAATTTTTTTTGCACCAAACTAAACTCATACTAACTTGTTATAACATACCTGAACAGGATTTGTTTTGAGATGCTAAGAAGGAAAAGACATCAGTTTAAAAAGAGCCCCTACTGGCCAGGCATGGTAGCTCATGCCTGTAATCTCAGCACTTTGAGAGGCCGAGGTGGGCAGATCACAAGGTCAAGAGATCAAGACCATCCTGGCCAACATGGTGAAACCCTGTCTCTACTAAAATACAAAAATTAGCTGGGCGTGGTGGCACGCACCTGTAGTCCCAGCTACTTGTGAGGCTGAGGCAGGAGAATTGCTTGAACCTGGGAGGCGGAGGTTGCAGTGAGCCGAGATCATGCCACTGCACTCCATTCTGGTGACAGAGTGAGACTCTGTCTCAACAAAAACCAAAAAACAAAAATTAGCTGGGTGTGGTGGTAGTCCCAGCTACTTAGGAGGCTGAGGCAGGAGAATCGCTTGAACCTGGGAGGCAGAGGTTGCAGTGAGCTGAGGTGGTGCCATTGCACTCCAGTCTGAGCATCAGAGCGAGACTAGACTTCATCTAAAAAAAAAAAGCCCCATCAGAGGAACATGAATTCTGGTAAAATTGAAGCCAGAACAAACATCATGTTTATGGTGATGTTTGGGTAGAACAATGGTAAAATCATTGATGCTTTATGACAAGTTTATGAGGACAATGTACCACAGAAATCAGCAGTTTACAGATGGGTAACTCATTTTAAAAATTGATGAGATGATGTTGAAGGTGCAGCCTGCAGTGGCAGACCATCCACATCTGTTTATGAGAAAAAACATTCATCTTGTTCATGCCCTCAAAGAGGATTACTGAAATAAACTCTAGCCAACACCATAGACATCTCCACTGGTTCAGCTTACACAATTCTGGCTGCAAAATCAAAGTTGAGCAAAACCTTCCACTCAGAGGGCATCAAAACCATTGTGTCCAGATCAGCTGCATACAAGGACAGAGCTTTCAGTGGAAATTTTAAAGAAGCATGATCAAGATCCTGAAACATTTTTTTTGAAGAATTGTAACAGGAGATGAAACATGGCTTCACCAGTACCATCCTGAAGACAAAGCACAACCAAAGCAATGGCTACCGAGAGCTGAATGTGGTCTCATCCCAGTAAGAGTGGTCAGGTCAAGAGCAGAGGTTATGACAACAGGTTTTTGGAATTCTCAAGGCACTTTGCTTGTTGACTTTCTAGAGGGTCAAAGAACAATAACATCTGCCTGTTATGGCAGTGTTTTGAGGAAGTTAGCCAAAACTCTAGCAGAAAAATACTCTGGAAAGTGCCAGGAGAGTCCCACTCTCCCACAGCAAGGCTTCCGCTCATTCCTTTTGCCAAACAAGGGCAACTTTGTGAGAGTTTTGATGGGAAATTATTAGGTATCCACCTTACAGCCAAATTACAGTCCTGATTTGGCTCTTTCTGACTTGTTTCCTCATCTTAAAAAATCTTTAGCAGGCACCCATTTTCTTCAGTTAATAATGTAAAAAAAAGAAGACTACATTGATGTGGTTAACTTCCCAGGACGCTCAGCTCTTTCAAGATGGACTAAATGGCTGGTGTCATCACTGACAAAGGTGTCTTGAGCTTGTGGTGCTTATGTTGAGAAACAAAGTTGATTTTTTTTCTTTTTTTCTTTAAAAAAAAAAAACTTGATTTTTCTGCTTTCCCCTCCATTTTTTTTTTAGACATTTTTCATTTTTGTTTTACTTATTTATCTTTATTTATTTATTTATTTTTTGGAGATATTTTTAATTTTTATTTATTTATTTATTTTTGAGACAGAGACTCACTCTCACCCAGGCTGGAGCGCAGTGGTATAATCTTGGCTCACTATAATGTCTGCCTCCTGGGTTCAAGTAATACTCCTTCTTCATCCTCCCGAGTAGCTGGGACTACAGGCATGTGCCACCATGCCCAGCTAATTTTTTGTATTTTTAGTAGAGGGGGGTTTTTATTGTATTAGCCAGGATGGTCTCGATCTCTTGATCTCGTGATTCACCTGCTTCAGCCTCCCAAAATGCTGGGATTATAGATATGAGCTGCTGTGCCTGGCTTATTTTTTATTTTTTAATTTTAATTTTAATTTTCTTTTTGGGATGGAGTCATACTCTGTCACCCAGGCTAGAGTGCAATGGCATGATCTTGGCTCACTGCAACCTCCACCTCTTGGGTTCAAGCGATTCTCCTGTCTCAGCTTCCCAAGTAGCTGGGACTATAGGAGCGTACCACCACACCTGACTAATTTTTGTATTTTTATTAGAGATGGGGTTTTATCATGTTGACCAGGCTGGTCTTGAACTCCTGAGCTCAGGTGATCCACCTGCCTTAGCCTCCCAAAGTGTCGGGATTACAGGCATGAGCCACTGCACCCAGCCTATTTTTATCTTTTAATTCCATTTTCTTTGAACTTTCTGCAGTACCCTTATGTACTCTTAGTTAAGTGTATTTATATATGTATGTGCCTATGACCTGGTATGTAGATTGCTCTGTGACCCGGCATGTATGTGTATTCTTGCTCTCATGACAGTATATGGGGAGATCAGGACCTCCACCCCCACCATTACTTTCTTTGCCTGTAAAAGGAGTGGGTTGGACTTGATCTTGAAGGTGTTTTCTGGTGCGGAGGGCTGCCATGTCTGTGTTTTCTGGGCTGGCATCATGTTGTTCCCTGCGTGCACCAATTCTTCGTAGTGAGTTTGCCTTGATGGAATCTATGAATGAGTAAATCTGAATGGAGTTGGGTTCCTGGAAAAGGTGAGTGATTTGAGTAGAACCCCCAGAGGCTGGGGTCGGGGAATACTTGGGAAATGAATAATCACCAAGTAACCACTCACCTCTTAAGGCTCTTTGAACCGTGTAATCACACATTTGTGGGTTTACTTTTATTGACTATTTTTGTCTTTGAAAACTTTGCATCTTTTAAGAAAAGCTAAAAGCTTAGTTGACATGTATCATCTGATAATTGATACTTAAAGAAAAACCCATTAATTTTTACTCTAATCATTGTTTTGTAGTTTAGGTAATTTTTATAAGTAATGTTTTAAGCCTCAAACCCATTCATGCCAGAAGATTTCCCAGCAAAGGATTAAGAGAGCAGGTCTCATTGCTGCCAGGAGAATTATGATCCTTCTTCCCTCTGGCTGCAAGTACAGAGTGATTTAAAAGTGTGAGACATTTTCTTTGGCCTCAAATCTGACTGATTTCCATTTAAACGAGAAAGTTCACATTTCTGATCTTACATTTTTTCTTGTAAAGACAGACTTAGGTGCTTTTCTCCTCTATGTTTTTGTGGCATAATTTTTCATAAGGAGAGTATATTTATGATATTTACATTAATATCATTAGTGTATATTTTATATTAGTAGCATATTAACAGTGTAATAAAAAAATAAAAACAAACTCTAGTATCCAGAGGATCACATGCTGGCCAGAGCCGGTCTGGAAAGTGCTGAAGAGCATCAAGGAAATGGAAACGCCAGATTCCACCTGTGCTTGTGGCTTTCCTTCAATTTTTATTACGGAAAATTTCAAATACTCCACAAAGTGGAGATTGGCTTAAATCAGCCCCATGTGCCCATCGCTCAGCTCCAGTCATTATGCTGTGTGGTTCCTCTAATCTTCATCACCTGCTCCTTCTCCAGAAAAAAAAGGATTTGGAAGCAAGTACCAGCTGGATATTGTGCATGCTCCTTATGAGATTGTAAAAGAGAAAGACTCTTGAAAAATATCTCCAAGGCCGCTGTCACCCAGGAAATCATAAACCCATAAGATGGCCTTTATCTTGTGAGCTCGGGGTCAGTGTTTCCACCCAGGGCTGTGGCTGGGTCCTAGAAGTCCCTGTTTCTCAGAGGCTCTGGGGCTAGTGTTGCAGCCTCTTCGTGTCTCGCAGAGATCCAGGGAACGTGCCCTGTCCTCACCCCACCTTTTCTTTGACTAGAAGCCCCGCTGGATACATGTTCCTCGCACAACTGCTGGCGGATCTGTGGTGACGGGCGCCTGCTGCCCTAATGGCTACTCCATGCCCCCTACCAGGACGAGCTGCTGGCTTCTCCAGCACGCCTGCTGCCCCTCAGCTTCCTGTCCCTCCTCCAGGCCATCCCGAGGGTCATCGTGGCCATTCGGTGAGCAGGTGGGGGATGGGGGACAGCGGGTGGCCCTCGGATAGAGACACCCACCTGAGGGAGGTTTGGTGGCCATCAGGGACATGGGAGAGTGGGGGGCGGGGGTTAGCTTGACAGGCGCCAGAGGCCTGGCACTGTGAGTGTGTCCTGTGGCATTCTGCACAGCACAGGCTCTGTCCTATCTCACCTAGAGATGTCAGGGCAGGCTGGGAGAAGTGGGGGCCTCGTGGGGCATTTCCACATTTCTCTTTTCACCCCTTCCCTGTTCCCAAGTTCTAAAGTGGCCCTGCTCCCAGAAGGACAGGGGTCCCAGTTTCCATACATTTCCATTGTTATGTTGGGATTGGCGATGCATCTTAACGGCTACTCGCCCTCCAGCCTGTGAGGCCTGGGCACCCCGTCAGGCATGGGGACTTCCTGCCTGTCCCCAGCTTGAGCCCTGACTGCCAGGCTCCATACTAGAAGGTCCCTTTCCCAGGTCTCTAGTCCCTGCCCTCACCCAGGCTTCAAGTTTTGCCTCTGACACCTTTGCTTCCCACAGCCATAGCTTCCTGCTGGGATACCTCCCCCAGAAAGCCTCCATGGCCACTCCTGTGATCAAGAGGCATCTGTGACAGCTGCTGTTTTCTCATGTAACATAATCCACGCCCAGAATTCAACCCAAATTATTTATCATTAGGCGATTCTTGGTTGTAGTGGCATTCATGTGAATGTGGGTGAGATTCTGTTATGAATGTGGTCAATAGATGCTATTTGTGAAACTCTAAACTGGCCAACTCTTAAATAATAACCTCTGATTTTCCTTCATTAAGCGGAGACTTCTTCCCATCTCTGTGTCCCTGGGAGAGGGCAGCTGTTTCCAAGTGTCTCTTCCCTCTGCCAATGGACAGCAGACCAGCTGGATGACAGTCTGAAAATGGCTTCAGCACCTGTGTGAGGTGGGTCTCATTTTGTATAATATTGTATGTGAATTGAATTTTAAAATCTGAGATATCATTTATATGTCATAAAATTCACTCTTTTAGAGTATGCAATTCAGTGGTTTTTAATATATTTACAGTGTTGTGTAACCATCACCACTCATTCTAGAACATTCACTGCAAAAAATTCCATACCATTAAGCAGTCACTCTTTTCCATCTGCCCCAACCCCTGGTGACCTCTGATCTACTTTCTGCCTCTGGATTTGCCAGTTCTGGGACATTTCATCTCAATGCTGTTTTCCGATGTGTGGTATCTTATGACTGGCTTCTTTCACTCAGGATTAAGCTTCATCCATATTGAGGCATATGTCAGTATGTCATTTCTTTTGATGGTTGGATTTTAAGTTGTTTCTGCTTTTCGGTGATTCTGCTTTGTGAATAATGGGTTATGAACATTTCTGTACAAGTGTTTGTGTGGACAGAGGTTTGCATTTCTCTGGGGTGTATACCTGGGATCGGAATTGCTGGATCATATGTTACTCCATGTTTCATATTTTGAGAAACTGCCAAGCTCTTGTCCATAGCAGCTGCCCAATTTTCTACACCCACCAGCAGTGCATGAGGGTTCTCATTTCCCTGTGTCCTCACGACACTTGTTTCATCCGTGACTTTGCTGATAGCCATCCTAGCAGGTATGCAGTGGTATCTCATTGTGGTTTCCATTTGCATTTTTCTAATGACTACTTATGTTGAATGTCTTTCCATGTGCTTATTGGACATTTGTATAGCTTCTTTGGAGAAATGTCTATTCAAATACTGTGTCTATATATAGACACACACACATATATACATACACACGCAGACATATACATATCCGTATATATAGATATGCCCCCCCACATATACATATTTTTGAGAGAGGGTCTCACTCTGTCACCCAGGGTGGAATGCAGCAGTGCAGTCCTAACTCACCAGAACTTACCTCCTGTGCTTGCGCAATCCTTCTGCCTCAGCCTCTCGTATAGTTGGGACCACAGATACAGGCCACAATACTCCGCTATTAATAGTTTCTTATTTTTGTGGAGATGGGGTCTTGCTTTGTTGCAAGGCTGGTCTTGAACTCCTGGGCTCAAACGATCTGCCTGCCTCTGCCTCCCGCAGTGCTAGGATTATAGGCATGAGCTACCATGTCCGGCCCTTCGTCTACATTTTAATTTGGCTGTCTATCAGTCATTTTATTATTGAGTTGTAAGTGTCCTGTGTATATTCCATATGCTAGACCCATATCAGATATATGATTTGCAAGTATTTTCTGCTATTATGTGGGTTGTCTTTTCGTTTTCTTGATGATGTCCTTTGAAGTTGTCGTAAGGTTTTACTTTTTCCTAGGTTGCATGGACTTTAGGGGATACGCTCATACCTGAGAAACCATTGCTGGATTCAAGGTCACAGGAATTGCACTTGCCCTCGTGTTTTCTTCTTTTTTTTTGAGTTGGAGTCTCGCTCTGTCGCCCAGGCTGGAGTGCAGTGGTGTGATCTCGGCTCACTGCAACTTCCACCTTGGGGGTTCAAGTGATTCTTCTGCCTCTGCCTCCTAGGGAGCTGGGATTACAGGTGCCTACCACCATACCCGGCACTTTTTTTTTTTTTTTTTGAGATGGAGTCTTGCTCTATTACCCAGGCTGAGTGCAATGGCACAATCTCGGCTCACTGCAATCTCCGCCTTCCAGGTTTAAGTGATTCTCCTGCCTCAGCCCCCTGAGTAGTTGGGATTACCGGCACATGCCACCACTCCCCGCTAATTTTGTATTTTTAGTAGAGACGGGGTTTCACCATGTTGGTCAGGCTGGTCTCAGACTCCTGACTGCATGATTTGCCTACTTTGGCCTCCCAAGGTGCTGGGGTTACAGGCGTCAGCCACCACGCTTGGCCCTGTGTTTTCTTCTAAGAGTGTTATCGTTCTAGCTCTTACATTTAGGTTTTTAAAATCTATTTTGAGTTTAATTTCTGTATATGGCATAAGGTGGGGGTCCAGCTTCATTCTTTTGCTTGTGGATATCCAGCTGTCCTGCATACCACCATGAAATGATAAAATTACAGAAATGGAGACCAGATTAGTGGTTTCTGGGTGCTCAGGAGGGGTCTGGGTCTGGTGGGATGGAACGGCCTGTGGGTATAGAGGGGCCGTGAAAGGTATTCTTGTGGCTGGAAATGCGTCAGTGTCAGTGTTCTGGTTGCAGTATTGTACTGTGGTTTTACTGTGTGTTACCAAACGGGGCAAACTGAATAAAGGATAACATGGGGCTTCTCTGTTTTGTCTTTTCTCTCTCTCTTTTTTTTTTTTTTTGTGGCTCGGTCTCACTCCATTGCCCTGGCTGGAAGGCAGTGGCTCGATCTTGGCTCACTGCAACCTCCACCACTGGGGCTCAAGCATTCCTCCTACCTTAGCCTCCTGAGTAGCTGAGATTACAGGCACATGCCACCACGGCTAATTTTTGTATTTTTAGTAGAGATGGGGCTTCTTCATGTTGGTCTGGCTGGTCTCAAACTCCTGACCTCAAGTGATCTGCCTGCCTTGGCCTCCCAAAGTGCTGGGATTTATAGGTGTGATCACCGCCCCCCACCCCTCTCTATTATTTATTATATGTGTATGTGAGTCTGTAATTATCTCAAAATGAGAAGTTTAATTGTAGAAGCAACACAATTCACTGTGAAGGATTTTAAGGATACAGAAAACGACAAAGAAGAAAATAAAACTACTCAGGTTCTGTCCCTGAGCAGATCTCTGTTATTATTGCCCAAGCAGGAAGGAAAGGACGCATTCCCGTGGAGGTGACCAAAGGGAGGACCTAAAGGTCACAAACAGGCTTGGACAGTGGCTTGCATCTGTAATTTTAGCTTATTATGAGGCTGGGGAGGAATGCTCGAGGCCAGGAGTTTGAGACCAGACAGGGCAACATAGCAAGACCCTGTCTCTACAAAAATATAAAAATTAGCCACGCATAGTGGTGCATGCCTGTAGACCCAACTACTTGGGAGGCTGAGGTGGGAGGATCTCTTGAGCCCAGGAGTTTAAGGCTACAATGAGCTATGCTTACACCACTGCACTCCAGCCTGGGCAATACAGCAAGATCCTGTTTCTCTTTAAAAAAGTGTCAAACAGGAACCAGACTCTGGGATGCTTGAACTGGGAGGTCCACCTTAGCGACAGAAGGAAGAAAGAGGTAGGAGTCTCAGATATACAGAACAAACAGGGCTACAGTCAGTGGCTCAGGGCCTCATGGAGTATCTTGGGCGTGTTTGTATCTCTGCAGTGGAGGGCCTCTCATCTTCCCTGGGGGAATGGAAGCTGTGTTCTCTTGGGGCACATCTTCAGTGGCCCTAGGGCAACATTAAGCATCATTTATTCAATCATCAGATATTTATTGGGTGCCTATTATATGCCAGGTACCAGGGAGCCAGCATAAGAGGACATGCCCTGCCCCCAAGATGCCACTGGGTTGCTGGGGCATTATAATTGAGGTGGGGGTCATTGCCATCATGAGCGAGGCACACATGAACACAGGGATGGCCCAGGAGCTCTGTCAGTGACCTGCTAACCATTCCCACTTGCAACATGGGACCATCAGCCTCTCTCTGGGGTATTCTCACTGTGGGGACAACAGGCTGGATGTACAGCGGAGGTGATGCCCCAGGAGCAGCCATTGGCCAGCGATGGGTGGGAAGTGTGGATCAGCACTTCAGTCCCCTCGCCCTTCGATGGGGATGACTCTGGGCCATGTTCCCAATGGGACCAAACCCCTACCACCCACAGGGGCCACCTTCTTGCTAACATCCTTCATGCCGGCTCTCTTTCCTCATCTCACCTCCCCACTCCCTCACAGGGCTCCTTGAATCACCTCCTCCAAAATACACTTGCACTCAATCCTTGCCTCAGGCTCTGCTTTTGGGGTGAACTCAAGACAAGGTTAGCAGACCCCATCTCACCAGTCACAGAGGAAGGGCCATCGGAGCAGAGACCTGAAGAGAGTTCCAGGTAGCCTAGCAATGAAAGTTGAGGCCAGAGTGCCAGGGCACAGGCACAGCAGGTGTGATAGTCTGGAGGTGACAGGTGGAGGCATTCTGGCCACATAAGCCATTCAGGGTGGCTGGGTTGTGGCATGGGTAGCCAAGAGCACTGGAGGATGAAGCAGATGGCAGAGAGCATAGGAGGCTTTGGGAGGCAGCCAGGGCATCACACTTGCATGGGCAAAGCCTGCACCACAGCCAGGTTCAGGGCATATTCGAGAAGGCTGTGAAGCCTTGGGCTCCGTTGCCCTGTCAGAGGCTGGGGAGGACAGGTCAAGGGAGTGGCCACAGCAGCCCGTGACCACAGGCTGCATTTTGGAGAAACCATTCCAGCTGAAGTGTTGGACGTAATAGAGTGGGGAGAGTGGACACAGGAGGCTGGCTTGGAGGCTGCAGCAGGAAACCTGGTGGGGGGCGGTGGTGTCTGGACCTCAGTGGTGGTGGCAGTAGCTGTGTTCCAGGTGCATGGGACATTTGGCTCCGCTGTCTACATCTGTGCAGGTGTGCTCCTGGGGAGTGGTACCTGGGGCTGCACCATGTGTTCTGATTAACCCAAGGACGATGTCACTTGAGCCCACACAGGACCACGGCTTCCACAGATGGACCCCGGGTGGCCCTCCACTTGCAGGCGTCATCATGAAGCTTGGAATTAGGAGTCACAAGAGGGCACTGTTGAGAGACTTTCACATAGAAGCCCGAGAAGGCCAGGGCTGGAGGGGCTTCAGTTGCCCAGGTCAGTCAGCCTTTGGTTTGTGGGAGCTGGAGTCTTGTACAGCTG